TGCGGCCACTTCGGCGCGGGGCCATGCGGGCGGTAGGCGCTGCCGGGCGGGGGGACGAGGGCGCTGGAGCCCGGGCCGCGCCGCCCCTCACCTGCTGTCGCCTCTCTTTGCAGGTCGCAGCCATGCTCCGCCTGGCGCTGCTGGTCCCGTGGGCGGCCGGGCTGAACTTCACGTACCACCACCAGCCGGAGATGGAAACTTTCCTGCGGGGCGTGCAGGCGGAGCACCCCGACATCGCGCACCTGTACAGTGTGGGGCGCTCCGTGCAAGGTAGGCGCGCGGGTGCCCCTCAGAGAGCGGGAAGGGGGATGACTCTGAAATGGCTGTTTTCTTTCTAAAGAAACGCCACTCTGTGCAGCTTCTTCGTCCCCGCCTCGCCAACCTGCACAGGACCCCGGGGCCCCTCGAGCGGAGGAAAAGCTCCTTCCTGTAACGCCCCGGGATCGAGGACTCCTGCGCGCTGGCATGCGGTCGCTCAGCCCTCGGGGTGCGCTTTAGTCACCACTCAAGCGCTGTATTGCCCTGACTTCACCGAAGTGCATGGCTTTCCGCCCCTTGAAAAATGGGCACAGCGCTTCAGTTAACCCTTGTTAAGTGGAGGTATTAAATTTGGAGCGCTGTATTTTAACAACTGCATTTCTAAACCTGGGAGCTGCGACCCAAAAGTGGGTGGCAAGAATATATGAAAGGGTCGTGAACAAACTTCAGAAATGGATTCTCCTTTAAAAGAGAAAAACATGGGAACCCGTGGGTTTTCCCATGTGGACTGGCAGAGCTCCAGCCTGCAAGGGGGTGCTTGGGGCCCCTCATGCCCCACACACCCACCTCCTTCCCCACACATGCCCTTTGTCCCACACTGGTGGGCTGGGGGCAGCAGGTCAGGAGTGAGGGGCACTGAGTTGGGACTGGTCATTGATGTTTACAAATGGATCCTGGAACTAAAAAGATTGAGCACCGTTGTTTTGCAGCACTTTAAATAACTTCTGTATGCTGATCAAGTTCTACCCAGTGGGGAAACCCCAGGAGGCTGTGGAGTGCCCCCTACCGTCTAGCCTAGAAAATGCAGGGAGACTCATAAACTCCCTTCGACCTCCCCTCATTAAACATTGCACTTCTGTCATGTTTTAAGGTATAGCGCTGTACCTTTATAGCACTATAAAAAAGTTTTCTGATGCCTGAGAGCAGATGCTTTTACTGGCTTAAGTAGGGGGTTGCAATGGAACAGGGTTGGCAGCTTGCTCAAATGTGGTAGTTCCTAGAATTGTCTGCTTAAATCTGCCTGGCCAAAAACATCTTTTTTTTATTCCGGGAACATCTGCTAGCTGTTGTTCTTGCCACCCCAATAAACGTTGCTGGACTCAGTGCATTTCAGGTAACGTCTGTTGCAGTGAGTCATAACTTCTCCAATGTTCACTCCAATGAAACCTCTGATCTGGGGCCATACCATGAAACTAGATGTTTTTGGTTGCTGACTTCAAAAACCAAAGGGATTAAAAGGAGATTCTTATTGTTCAGGGCTATAATGATGGTATTGCAGCACATGTGTGTGTAGGTTTTGTTTTGTTTTGTTTCCCCCCCCCAACTTAGAATCATAGAAAATTAGGGTTGGAAGGGACCTCAGGAGGTCATCTAGTCCAACCTCCTGCTCAAAGCAGGACCATCCTCAACTAGATCATCCCAGCCAAGGCTGTATCTACCTGGGTCTTAGAAACTTCTAATGATGGAGATTGTACCTACAACCTCTCTGGGCAGCCTTATAACTTGCAGATAAGTTTGAAAAATGTTTTATTCCTGGATTTGTTCATTATTCTAACATACTAGACTAATTACAAAAAATACTCTGTATGACATGCTGAAAACCTGCCTTTCATTCCCTTCCTTTTTTGGCACCAAGTCTCAAACTCAGCAGGAGAGTATGCCTCTAGCTATAACTGGTTTTCTGTCTGTGTGTATTTTAGTTTGCTCTATCTCCATTCAATTTCAGCATTTACTAGGAATTCTATTAGAGCATTGACACATTCATGTCTTTTGAAATGGGATGTTAGCAACAGGAGCTCTCACTTGATCAGAAGAAATGAAATTAAGATGTAAGCTATAGAATTAGAGATGAAGAGATCTTCAGTTTCTTGAGAAATGTCATATATAAGTATAGTCTTCGCAACAATTAAATCTGTGACTTTTTTTTCCAGTAGATCCATACCACTCTACCACAGTTCAGGTAGATCGGTATGAAGAAATGGATTATCTAGAACAGTGGTTTTCAAACTTTCATTTACAGACCTCTTTGGAAATTTTGAAGGGAGGTACAGACCTCTTTGAATAGTAAGTGTGGGTATTCACTTACTTTTGATTGGTCCACGTCATCTTCCACAGACCCCTTAGACCTAGTCTGCAGACCTGCAATGGTCCGTGGACCACAGCTTGAAAACCACAGATCTAGAACGTCTCTGCCAATTAGAGCAGAAAATAAAATAAGGCTAAATATGTGTTTTCAGATTTTCTCAGGGGCCCTTTTCAGGGAAAGCATTTTTGTTTCTAAGAGTCTTGACTTTTCTGGTTCCTTCCAAACACTGTTTGTGTCATCTGTGGAACCAGTTGCCATACCAATGCTAGTATGCACAAACTCAGTTATGCTCTCTTTCACTTTAAGAAAAGAACCAAATAGTAACAAGGAAGAATTAAACTAGTTAGAGAACTGAACATTTTAGAAATAGAATGAATACATTAAGTTGTTTGCTCCATTCATGACAATGGAGATTTGCTCCCAAATGTTAATATTTTACTATGAGGGATCTTAACAAATAATAGGTCCAAATTTTGTCCTCATTGGAAATAATGAACCCCAGGGGTTTCATCCTGTATAGTCAGTGGTTGTCTTTGGACTGCATTTAATCACAACCTTTTTCAGTCTGAGAACTTAAATGTTGGCTCCAATTTATTAAGCAACTCCACAACTGCCATTCAAAAAAACCCAAAAACTACCTCTCTAAGTTGAATCAGTTCAGGAATGTAGCCCTCCACTCCTTGCTCTGCTTATGCATGTAGGAGGGCAGAAAGCATGCTATCAAGTGAACATCATACCTGCATCATTCAAAGTGGGAAGGGAAATACTTTCTTCCTTGCTCATCCTCATGTGGTGATTAGTTTAAAAGAAAATACAGGTAGAACAATTGCAGCAAGAGGGACTGAATCTGTCCACTTCTAGATTATTGGGGCAATTGCCCAATAAGTTGGAGACCTTAGTTTTAAGTCAAGTCAAGCCCAGTAGATTTGCATGTGGAGGATCTACATTCATAATGTGGGTCCTAACTACTAGGACAGGGGTGGACAATTATTTGGACCAGTGGGCCACATAGGTAGTTTTGGGGAGCTGTTCCAGGCCAGTCACCACCCCCCACACACCCACCCACAACAACCTGGAGCCCACACGCCCTGTGGCTCCTCCTCGCCACTGCCGCTACGACCAGTGCCCAGGAACAGCTGAGTACACAGCTTACCCCACCCCAATCCATGCTCAACTTGCCCTGCCTGGGGTGGACCAGCTCTAGACCAGCCAGAACCCATGCATACAGCCCCAAACTTGGCCCTGGCCTGCCCCGTGCCTGCTCTGGACTCCCCCCCGCCCCCCGGATATATATACAGCACCATATGTTTTCTATGTATACAACACTTAAATAATATAGGCCTTTTTCTCATTCAATGTGCTCCACCCATCTCTTGTCTATACTTAATTCCTTATTTCTAAGCATACAGTGAGTCTTTGTTACAGTTTAGTTGTGGCCTAGCAATGTGGGGTCTGGTACATGACTGGGGCTTCTAGGTGCTACTGCAATTTAAATAATGTTTCACAGTATTATTCTAAAATGATGAAAATAATCACAGCTTGGGTGGATCCAAAGGGTTGCAATGGTGCAAATGCACTGCAGATGACTGCACTACAGGAGAAGGACCTGGGGACATTTTTTTAAGTCCCCAAAGCAAATAACAATTTCTCCCTCCCTTCCTCTCTATGCTTAGCGGCATGGCCTCCCCTACCCACTGCTGTCACTGCCTCTGGCAGCCCTTGGGGGGAGGGACTGGGGCTGGAGGGAGAGGGAGCTTCAGAGCCACTCCATCTGGGCTCTGCTTGGAGCTGGGCTCATCTAGGGATCCCGGCAGCAGCAGCAGGTGGGTCTCTCCTTCCCTTCTCCCTGCCTGGTTTCTACCTCTCTTACTTCCTTCCCCACTCTTCCCTCCTGCCCCCCATCCCTCTGTTTCCTACCAGACTAGGAGCAGGTACAGAGGATGGGAGCCCATTTGCTGCTGCTACTGCCTCTAGCCAAGCATGGTTCCATGTGCAACCTGGATGCAGCAGGGCAGGAGTGGCTCTGGAGTACCCCCTGCCCCTGCTTCAGCTGGGGACAGCAGCATAAGTGGGCAGTGGAGTGGAAGGAGTGTGCTGCTGATCGTGGAGGCAGGAGGAGGAGGGAGGGAAGATCCTTACCTGCTTGAGAGACTTTAAACATACCTGGCTGCTGCTTCCACAGCATGGTCTGTCCACACTGGTGTGTGGGGTGGAGGGAGGCTGGGAGCCAGCATGCAGCCACCCCTGCAGCACAAGTTGCTGCTCTGCACCCCGCTTTCTGAAATCCTACATCCACCCATGATTGCAGCTATATTTACCTCCATAAAGAACACAAAGGGTAACTTATTAAAACCAGACTTATAGCCGAACTCTACATTATTTTTTCACTCCCCACCCAGCATTGGCACTTTCATACTAGGCCGCATTAAATGGAGGCTTTGGAGAGAGCCAGTTAGTGCCCAGACTGAAGAAATAAGAGCAGCCAAGATTGTGATTTGTATTATAAACATGTACAACCTCCTTGAACAAAGCCAGGGCCAGAGCTGTCTATTACAACAGTGTATATCTTTGATTTCAACATTTACTATGAATTTATGCTGAGGTAACTGACAGTTTGGGCTTACCCAAGTGTAACTGAGGCCCTGAGTACCTTTATTTGAAACTTTTAATTGTTTTAAATAAGTAACACCTGAAATGTGTTTCTGGCCTTGCAGTTTTTACAAGCAGAGTTCCAGTCCTGTCAGCCTAAACAATGGCAGATAAGAGGATATTGCAATGTCCTAATAATTGGTTAATCTTTCTATGAATAGAGCAAAGCCTGGCACATTTAAATGGTCAGCAAGTTTTATTGTGGTTCTACATTTCAGCAAAATCTTGTGTCACCAAAGGCAAAAATACTCTGCCTTTGTCCTGAATCCCGTGAGAA